TGTGGTGAAAATCATTTTGATGTTGGCTGTTTGAGGGTTCGTGCGATTTTGTCAGTCCCTCCTTTGATATAAGGAAGGATTATTTTGGGGGTGTCCATTTCGTCGGGTTTATTGGTAGGAGTTCCAGTTGGGCTAGAATTGGTGAGTTTAGAGATAGTTCTGTTGATTTGGGTATTATTGTAGCCGTTATGTGAGAGGACTTGCTAGAGGAAGTTGAGTTCGGTTTGTATGTTTGTGTTATCGGAAAGGCGGATGGAACGGGAGATGAGAGATTTGATTACTGAGTTGAGTTGGGATGGGTGGTGGTGGTATTGAGCGTTAAGGTAGCGGTTGGTATGTGTGTATTGGCGGAAGAGAGAATGGGAAAAACCTTGAGTTGGAAGTTTTGTGATCATGACATCTAGAAATGGCAAAGACATGTTGTTTTCCACTTCTATTGTGAACTGTATACTGAGATGTAAGCTGTTCAGGTGCAATAGAATGTTATCCAAACTTTTTCTGCCATGTGGCCAGATCGCAAAGATGTCATCGACATAACCTAGCCAACGTTCCGTTCGAAATTATATAAATCTAGAACGCGGCTCATTCCGATAACCAAGTTTGATATATATATATATATATATATATATATATATATATATATATATATATATATATATATATATATATATATATATATATATATATATCCAAATATATATATATATATATATATATATATATATATATATATATATATATATATATATATATATATATGGCATTTATTGACTATAAGAAGGCATTTGACCTGCTTGGAACTCTAGCTGCAATCACCCCATTACTGAGGATCCAGATTATATACGAACATGCCACAACAACCATCAAAGAAGACGAATACTCTGAAAAACTGCCAGTAATGAGAGGCGTCATACAAGGAGACCCGTTTTCCCCAAAACTGTTCTCAGCTGCTTTCAAGTGTATGTTTCACAAGCTGGACTGGAGCGAGAAAGGAATCAAGAAAAATAGCTTCTACCTCAGCCACTTGAGCTTCGCTGACGATTTAGTCCTGTTCTCTCGATATGCTACCGATCTTCAAGAGCGAATCAATGACCTGCACATCGCGAGCAAGGAAATAGGTCTAGAAATGAACACCGCAAGAACAGAGATGATGCTGAACTCCTTCTGCACCAGAAAGCAAATAGAGATGGACGGATCCCCATTAGAAATAACAACATCTTACTCATATCTGGGACATATTGTCACGGGAGACGGGGATATTACACCGGAGATCAGAACATCTCGGGGTACAGTTGGCCAACTGAAACACATTTTCAAATCAGATATGCCACTATCCTTAACGAGCAAAGTGTTTGACCAATGCGTATTACCAGCGATGACCTACGCCAGCGAAACTTGGACCCTGAAATCAGCTCACATACAGAAGCTTCGAACAACCCAGCGGAGTATAGAAACATACATGATGGGCCTAATCATACGAGATGGAATACGGTGCAGCTGGATAAGAGGTCTAACAAAGGTGGAGGATGTCGTAGAGTGTGTAAAAGGGTCAAAGTGGAAATGGGCAGGCCATCTAACCCGAACAAGAGATGAGCGTTGGTCAGCTGTGGTTGATGATTGGCAGCCCAGAGACAGGTTAGGGATAAGGAGCTTGTAAATTGACCTGGCGTTGCCTGGAAGAGAGAGACTGATTTTTGTGACTAACATTAATTGTCAACTTTTACGTTGGTAAAAGCTTCACCTAGATAAAACTTTCACGTTTTCAGTGAAAATGAACTGAAACATCCAAAGTGAAACTAACAATATCGTCAACAAATGAAAATTGCTATTATCCACTGTGTTGCTCAAATCTGCCTGTATATGGAGTACTTCCTATATTTCCTTTTGTTTCGTGTTATTTTGTGTAGTTAGTATTTTTGTTTCCTCGTATTTAAAATCGTGAATTTCTGCCATTTTGTGTTTAGTCAACTAATTTCGTTCAGTTTGCTAATTTTGTGCAATTATGTGCACAACATTATTTATTAAAATATTTATTCGGTATTGTAACTTATGTGATAATTATCCAATGTATAGTTTTCGAAATTTTCACAAGGAATCGAGTAGAAGACGTTCGAATTTAATGTTGGGAGTTGCCGTTTTCATTTTGCGCAATATTTGTTTTACTTGGTTTTCGAGTTCATGGATTGTTTCGAGGTAAAGGCCTTTCAGAATATTTTTTTCGTATGAGAGGTATCCTAGGAAGATAATTTCTTCTTGTTTTCGATTTTTTTTTGCTTCTCTACTGTGTGTCATTCTTTCATGATATTTGTTATTGGTTTTCGGATGGTTGTATTTTTCAATATATATTTGTCCTATAATAGAACCATTTTTATGTTTTCATGTTGTATGCGGTTGCGTGAAATCAGAAATCCAATCTGGGTGGTTTTGTTCTTCTTCATGCCAATTTGTAAATATATAATTATCGATATGGTCATTTCCAGATGGACATATCCACAAAGTTTAGTATTTTCTGTTGTTATGTAAATTTTATCTGTAGGGATTCAGTCTAAAATTCCTGCAATATTTTCTGCATTTTTTCTGGTGTTGTCATCACAAGGCAATCGACAGATAATCCACGTTTAAATTTGTTTTCATCTTTATCATGATTTTCTCAACGAAGTGCTACATAAAGATTTGGAATATCGAAGTCTTTTGTATACTGAATTTCTTAATATATATATATATATATATATATATATATATATATATATATATATATATATATATATATATATATATATATATATATATATATATTCAGATTTAAACTGATTTAAAACAGTGTGGTGTTAAAAATTATTCTGCTGCTGCATGCGGATAATCTGATTGAAAAAATTGGCATTCACTACTTTGTCCGACTTCTATTGCCTATAAATCCAATTTGAACTTCTGTAACAAACTATGATTGAATGAAAATATAATGATTAAATCGATGTGATTAAACTTAAAAAAAAAAATATTAATAGTCGATGTCTTGAGCGCGGAACGAATAAAGAGAGAATAAAAATAAAATGAATCATTATAATATGAAATTATTCAACCATCTGAATTAGATGGTTGAATCGAAAATCGAATTCGCATGAAGTTTCAGTAAGTATTGTATTTTTAACCGTTCTCAAGTGAAAACTCATCAATATTTTCTTTTTTTCAGTTTAATCCAATTAATAGTATCTTTTTATTTTCTTTCGATCATAGTTTTTATCAGAATTTGAAATTTTGTTTATTGGCAATGGAAGTTCGACAAATTAGTGAAGAATCTACAATGCCCAACACCTTCAAACAGACTGATATAATAATTCTGCTGCATATTATTCGTTCTCGTATACTCGTATTGAATATAATTACGTATGCCTAAGCTTTGTATCTAGCAGTATGTGAACTGAAGCAGTTTTCCATCTGCGGAAACTGGCAGACAGGGTGAGCCAATGGAAACCCGAATAACTTCCAACATAAACACGAAATAATAATAAGTTGCGACAAATTATACAGTAGAAGCCTCATTTATACGTAAACATTAGATAATGTTGAAGCATAGTGGGAAACTGTTTCGGTTAAAATCAAATATACTCGAGTAGATATAATATTATGATGAACTATTTTGACATGACAGATATAGGATAGAATATGAAAAGCACAGTAGGAGAGAATACAAGAAATCGATAATTCGGTACATGTATATATATATATATATATATATATATATATATATATATATATATATATATATATATATATATATATATATATATATATATATATATATATATATATATATATATATATATATATATATATATATATACAATTGTTCTCGACGAGAACGAACCTATCCCTTTGGAGAGTGAATATTAAGTGCGCTTCAAAGAAATCATCGATCTTGTTGAATGATGAAAAAATTTAATTATTTCATCATTATAATGAATCATCAGTCCGTATTCAATCAATCAATCAAGAATCGATGACAAGAAACGCCCACAGGTCCAAATCCGAATGAGGGGAACAACAATTTGTAAGAATTCACGTGAGCTCCCTCTATCGAAGAAAAGACGAATAAAGTCTCCCTAGCGTTCTACTCAAGATAACATTAGTCCGAGTACGTGAGGGTTAATGGACGTTTCATTCGAATTCCACAGCAATCCGTCTGCAATGTGTAAGAATGGTCCCAGCAAAAGGATAGCTAGTTTCAGGATTCACGAATCATTCTACTAGTGAACACTGATACTCTCAATAGAAATAAATATATATATATATATATATATATATATATATATATATATATATATATATATATATATATATATATATATATATATATATATATATATATTTATATATATATATATATATATATATATATATATATATATATATATATATATATATATATATATATTTTCTAAATTGATTTATTGCCTGTTTAAGATAGTTCGTTTTGAATGTATTCAGCAATAACAGGCTTCTTTTAATATAAAAAACTTTATTCTTTTTGACGTTTCGTTGTATATCACAACTTTGTCAAAACTAATGATTTTTTGATTGGTTTTGACAAAGTTGTGATATACAACGAAACGTCAACAAAAGAAAGTTTTTCGTATAAAGAAAAGCCTTTTATTGCAAACAACATTATAAAATATATATATATATATATATATATATATATATATATATATATATATATATATATATATATATATATATATATATATATATATATATATATATATATATATATATATATATATATATATATATATATATATATATATATATATATATATATATATATATATATATATATATATATATATATATATATATATATATATATATATATATATATATATATATATATATATATATATATATATATAAACTTTGAAAAGACGACAACCCGAGCGTAGACTACTGGCTTACGAATAAAAGAGTACTAGATATAGTCGAAATTGCATCCCGAAGCTTAGACGTCGGTAGCTTACTTGGTTTTAGCAACAGGGCGTAAACCTGAGAGACCTGGGTTCGTATCCCAGACGAGGTTGAAAATTTTCGTGATGTAATTTCGATTTCAAATTCACATATAAATATTTCTTCATATGCATAATACGAGAACGAATAATATGCAGCTGAATTATTATATCAGTCTGTTTGAAGGTGTTGGGCATTGTAGTTTCTTCACTAATTTGTCGAACTTCCATTGCCAATAAACAAAATTTCAAATTCTGATAAAAACTATGATCGAAAGAAAATAAAAAGATACTATTAATTGGATTAAACTGAAAAAAAGAAAATATTGATGAGTTTTCACTTGAGAACGGTTAAAAATACAATACTAACTGAAACTTCATGCGAATTCGATTTTCGATTCAACCATCTAATTCAGATGGTTGAATAATTTCATATTATAATGATTCATTTTATTTTTATTCTCTCTTTATTTGTTCCGCGCTCAAGACATCGACTATTAATATTTTTTTTTAAGTTTAATCACATCGATTTAATCATTATATTTTCATTCAAACATAGTTTGTTACAGAAGTTCAAATTGGATTTATAGGCAATAGAAGTCGGACAAAGTAGTGAATGCCAATTTTTTCAATCAGATTATCCGCATGCAGCAGCAGAATAATTTTTAAAACCACACTGTTTTAAATCAGTCCCAAAATACATGATCCTATTTTCATCTGGAAATGACTAATATGCAACCGAACTATTATGTAAAACTTTTCATGATTTTCAGTCAGAAAATCAGCATGCAAGAGCACAATAATATTTAACAGGTGCAATAAGTTTCCCTAATATCAAAGAACAATCCTTCTTTCAACTGGAAATGAATAATTTCAGCCTATTCAGAATTATGTCAGTCTTCACATAATTTTACTTCAGGGAATTAGCATGCAGTAGCACAATAATTTGTAGCACTCTTCAAAATATTCCTAATATCAATGAATAATCCTTCTTTTGACTGTAAATTATTAATATTCAGCCGAACTTATTATTATGTCAGTCTTTGAATGATTTTCTTTCAGGTAATCAGCAAGCAGTAAACAATGATTGAAAACTGCTTCGCTGTTTTGAAATATCCTCAATATAAATGAATTATAATTTTTTAAACTCGGAACGAATAATATGCAGTCGACCTATTATGTCAGTCTTTCCATAATTTTCATTTGAGGAATCAGCGTACAGTAGCTCCATAATTTTCAAGAACTCCACTGTTTTAGAATAGTTTTAATATCACTGAAATTCTTCTTCCTTAACAATTCTTATCGAATTTTCACATTCAAAAGCTATTAGCAGAATGTTCTCCAGTTTTTTTCACCTCGAAGGACAAGAGTTCCTCGGCATACAAACTCTCTGTCGATGTCTATTTCTTGCGAAGCACCAGCAAGTACATCACAAACGTGTTCAATTATATTTTCCTTTTTATTCTACGCAGAATAGTAAAATGCCTGAATTTAATTTAATCGTTGCTTTTCCATTTCTATGTTACAAAACGGCTTGAAATGCTTTGTTATCTCTTCCGATTCTTTTTTATTTCCTTGAAGTGAAAAATCATCATCAATATGATGAAATCCTAGAAGTAGATGTTGCCATCTTAGTTCAAACACAACACTACCGTACTTTTCTGAGACCGAAAATTCGTAAAAATTAGTGACGATCTATCTAATTCATACCCACACTAACAAATGACAACAGTTAAATGAAATATGATGCTTCTAAAGGCTGTTGAACTTCTTAGACAATAGATGGCAAATTACAGGTATGAGTTATCTAAATCCGTTTGTGAAACCCACTATCAACTGTAAAAGATTGAGTACCAACTGCTGTAGTAGTAAGAAAAATCTTTATTGCAGAGAAAATAAAAACCTTCCTACAAATGGTTGGAGTTTGACGAATCATTCTTCCACTCCTCCAAAATAACATTAACATAAATTAGAGAATCATATACAATAGTAGGTTAGGATACACTTAATCCTAGGTAGAACTTATGATTAAAGTCTAATAAATATAAATTTAGTGAACTTAAATAATGAATTCATGTCAAAATGAAAAAAGGATACATATAATCACAAAAATAACAAATAGAAAAATATTTTGTGAGCATGTTCATATTAAAGACTTTGCCTGGAAGTGGTCCGATTACTCGCTGACAGAATAGAAGCAAAATCTCAAAAGATATTTCTTGATAATTATTTTGAATCTATTGAAAGGAAGCTAATTGAAATGCGAAGGTAAGAAATTGTGTAACTTATATTCAATCGAGTTTTTTTTGAGTTACTTAGACGGTATTAGTTGTTCGGATATTATTTGCGCCTCTTGTATGTAATTATGTAGATCAGACTGTTTGATCAACTTATCTACATCCCCATGTATTTCTAAAAGAACGTTATATACCCACAATGTAGGCAAGGGCATTATTCCATTTTTTATAAATAATGGACTCATGAATCCAAGTAACCAACGACTGCCATTATTCGAGTTGCTTTCTTTGCAACCTGAAATATATGTGAATGGTTGTATTCCGAATGTACTTATATTACAAGTATATAATTATAAGTATTATTAGTACATGAATAACCACAATTTTGAATGAGAAGAACTTCAATTTCTTATCAATGACTTTCCACAGATTTTGAAGAATTTGGATTTAAATTGAACCATGAAAGATTAAAATATTTTGTGAATTCGCATAGAAATCGGCTCTTCACTGAGCAATGTGGACTTTGAAAGCGATGGATAAGCTGTGGTCAACCACAAGTCTTTTATTTTTTATATTTATTATTTATTATTTATTATTATTTATATTACCTTTTATTCATTATATATATATATATATATATATATATATATATATATATATATATATATATATATATATATATATATATATATATATATATAATAATACTTCATTAGCAGCAAGGAAGCCTGTATTAGTTTCAGACTCCACAAAATCAGTTACTAAAATCTGTGTAATCTGGTGAGAACGCAACAAAGGGCTCACAGATTTGCATGTGATTTGTATAATGACGAAAATTCGAACTAAATTACTATTATATCTTAATCATACAAGAGGTTTCTATGTGCTGAAAGGATTCGAGTATTGAAGTCATTTCCTAACTAGACGATGAACGTGGAACACTAATGAGTTCCTTGTCTATTGAAATTTCATGTAGTTTGATCTAGTCTTGCATTGTTTTCAATGTTCTTAAACATTAACTATTGAAGAAAAGACGAGGTATTATATCCTCCATGATATATAACTATCTAACTCCACTAAATAGTTCTTCTGATATCTACTTTTCCAATGCCATTCCAAGTATCTCCCTTCACATTTTATGAACAGTGTGATTTTATTACAGGAAGGTAGAAGCAAACCTGGACTAATTTGCAATCATGAGGACCGTGGCGGCCATTCTTTTCTGAAGGGATTATTAGACTGAGAACATTTTTTAAGGTCAATTTTGGAAAACTTGATCTAGTTGTTTCGTCTCCTGCAATATGTAGAAAATGTATGTCGAAATTTGTGAGAGATGAACATAGGAATTTTCACAACCTCAAATACATATACGTGTAATGTACAAGTAACACTAAAATGCGCATTATGAAACTTGTAGCTACATAACCAAATATGATTTTTGCAAAAACTGAGAGTAAGTTTATGTGCATTGTACAATATCTATGCGGTGATAATTAGTATTGCCGTGTTGTATCTTTTAGAGATCCCATTATGCAGTTCTACAATATGCTTTCTGAAACGGCAGCTCTGATACCGCCATTTTATATTTTTTTTCACCGGAGAGCGCGCTGTCATTCAAAATATAACTCTAATGGGGTTCAATGCAAAAATTATAATTTAAATTATGATTAAAATCGCATTTTCATGAATGACAACAATATTTGGTTTGTGACATTTGAATTTGAAATCGATCTATATTCAGAATCTTTAAACTTCCGAAAAAATTTTTCATAACATTGTTAGGATAATAGAATACTTTGTTATAATAATGTATTAGAAAATAAGTAGTTTAACGCAACAAATATCATCAGTTCATCACACCTTTCATACCGATTTCCAGAAATCTGGAGAATTGGGCCCTACATTAGTATTCACTGATGGCGATTGATCAACATCTTACAAGAAGTAGGCACATTGAGGCCTTATCAGAATCTTTTATCAGCCTCTCACATCGATTTCCAGAAATCGAGAGAATTGGGCATAACTAATACTTCTACTTCCAGTAACATTCATAGATTTGTGAGTAAGAAAATAGCACTACATAATTTCATAGATGGTCAACACTACAAGACCAGCAACATGTATAGAAATATGATTTCAAATATGGTTTCACAAGGTCTCAATCTGCCTACTCCTAGAATGATGTTGATTAATTGCCGACCAGTGGAAAACTGTAAGGGCCAATTTCCTCAATTCCTAGAAATCGGTATGAAAATCGGCATCAAAATACACAGTGACCTTTTCCGTTCGAAAATCATAGTATTTCAAGGACATAATAATTGAACATTCAAAAATGCGCCTCATTTCACAACGGAACTATTGAACATATGGGTAAACGTGAACTTGTATTGTTGAATGCGTTATCTAAATCCGCCTGAACCATGATTAGACAAAACTAAACTGATTCGTAATGAGGCTAGCCGTTTTGTGATGCCACTAGTTTAATTGATGAATTCAAAATAACTAATTCAAAATTTCAAAATTCGAAAAGTTTATCTTATTTGAGGTGTACACAATTTCAGTGAACCATGGAGAAAATATTTTCGAAGAAAATAATTTCCAGTGAATGATGTCTTAGTTCAAAGAATATTTCATCCATTACTCCTGTTTCATAGACATCGTAAAGTTCCTGAACAATAGTCTAATCGAGGTGAGTTCAAATTCATGCAGAGCAAGATCACATCACATATCAAAATTTCAATTTGTTCAATTTATTCATGAAAATATCATTCGAGTCATTTGCTACAATTCGTACCGAAAAGTAAAAAAAAGAATTATTCTCATTTTTACTGTAAAGT